TTCTAAACGCATTTGAAATCATCAGCCCAATCTTGTGTCTGTCATCAACCATGTGAACCACTGATATCTTTGCGATATCCACTATATCCTAGAACTTCAAAATACTTACATTCAAAATATGTTAATTTCATAAACATTATTAATATCTTTTGGAGTAACCATTCAAGTAGTTTATCAAAACGCTAAGTGATATCTATGTCTATATGGTTACGTTCATGATCAGCAAACTACCGATAAAAGCTTGTTTTCATCACTGAAATATCTGTAGCTTTATGACTGATGTTCGGAATATCATCAAAAAATTAGTATATGTCATATGACAGTTTCCACTTTCTAAACACTATTGCTGTATATAAAATTTGTATGGTCATATAGTTACTTTTGAAACCTTCTGCGTTCAGTAATGTTTATACTGCAGTAGTATGAAACTTCTGTAGTATGTGGTTTAGTCATAACATCCATATGTGTAAATACGCTCCTGCCACAATTTTTATCCTTTCAATAAAATAATATAAAAGAATTTAACATTCGTATGTATTGCTTTCTGTTAGCCAACCCTTAAAAACTCTTCAAGTGTAATCAAATTATATGTTGCCAAAAACAAAAGATAAAAACTGATTGGAAATTATTTTATGCTGACCCAAACTTCAAGTTGGAGCAATAAATAAAACAACAAAAAACTTACTCACTTTGGGTGTCACTAATCGAAGAGTATGAGTAACAAATCGTTGGGATAACGGAAAAAGGCGGATAATGTTAGTAAAGTGGTGTTAAGCTATTTTAATGAAAACATTTCTACATAACAAATAATAATGACTACAATAAAAATACCAATTTGTCATGAATGACGCATTTCTGATTTTATGAAACAATACAAAAATAACTTCTTATTTCCTTATATGTCCCTTAAAATACTAATCATTCTCATTTACTTAATCGAAAATAATTTAATTAAATTTAATTTCAAATTTTATTTTTAATACTGAGCAAGAAAGATAACCTTCAGCATACTTTTTTATAGTATTTAAGCATCCCTTCACGAAATGGTTAAAACAATTTTCAAGATTACATCAAATTAAGAATTAATTGGTTACTGAAAATATAGCAGCCAGTCTACCATTTCAGTATGTGGGATTGTCTGCACCCTGTTATTTTAAAGCATTACAATAAAGTAAACAAGAATACATGGTATCAGATCAGCATTTCCTTACAACTCTCCATTAAGAATTTCTACTTTAATAACATTTGGAATAATCTTTTCGGTCACCTAATCTAGTTCCATTACACAATTTACGTATGCTAATGCCATGCAAAAGAATAATTGCAATTCAAGTCTTTAGTGACAATTTTAGTGATGGGATCTAATGAAGTTAAGAACTCAATTAAACAGTATACAACTACGTTGGCATTCATGAAACTGTAAACTGAGAGAGTAGTTTCTAACTGCTTCTAGTCGCCTCTAACTAACGCCACTTTATACGTGAGCATAAAGTCATTAGAGAAGTTATAACTTCTTCAAAAAAGGATGATATATTTTATAAGAATATATATAATACATATTATCAGACAGTCAAGCTGCTTTAAAGTCCATAAAATGAAACCAATTTTCCTCCAAGTTGGTTTTGACTTGGTCTGGGTTCCCGGTCATAGAAATATTTTCGGCCATTGCAAAAGAGACAAGTTAGGCAGACGAGGTGCTTCAGAAAATAACTCGGATAATCTAAACAGTCTGGGCATATCACTGAAAACATGCAAACTCAGATATACTCAGATATTTATGTTCTCAACATTTTAATAAAAGGTTGGATGCTTCAACGATATGCACATCTGTATGCACTTTAGACACGTTTCATTTGAAAGAAATCCAAAACTCTCATCGAGATGTTTTGTAGAGATATCAGACTTGTGGTGGGCTTACTCAGAGATCGTCTGCCTTGTACTGTCTTGTACTTGCTCAGCACATGCGCGGCGCAGCCATACTACTCTAGGAGCCTCTTCTTTTGAGGATCTTCTTCAACTGCAAAAGAACCTACATGATCTACCAAAGACTTAAGGTGATTCTAAACCTCTGAGCTTGTGCCATATACAGTAACACAATGGGTAGCCGGTACAATCTAACCTAATCCACATAGTATGTAAAGTAGTCAGTAATTGGACGAACGTGAAGTTATTGGTAGCTAATTTAGTAACGAATATTAATTTTTTTGCAACTTTTTTTGCAATTTTTTTCTGCAGAAATTGGAAGAGCGTGGTATTAGTGTATCACTAGTAACGTAGTATTGTACTATACACTACTAGTAGTATTAGTGTGCTATAATTTTTTAAAATCTCAATTAATGATATAATTAATGATAGTGTGCCACTAGTAACGTAGTATTGTACTATACACTACTAGTAGTAGCAGTAGTGTGCTATAATTTTTTAATATCTCAATTAATGATATTGCGTTTAATTATATCTCATTTAATAAGTTTTGTTTTGTCGAAAAACCTCTTTATAAATTTTGTTTCAAATAAATTCATCGACTTCGTTACAAATATACAAATACGTATATAGATTGCAGTAGTGATTAGTTTTAATTGTCAAAATATGATAAAAAGTGCATCAGAAATTTTTTGTAATAAAGTTCTTTATTTTACTTTTATTTTTCTTAGCTGATTATTCTATAATTAAACCTTAATTTTTGCAATAGATACTAATATTGTAATATCTTTCATTCTAAGTACTATTATTAACAGGTATTTTCATATTTCTTTTATTTATGTCAGCATTAATATCTTTTAAGATAGCTTCTAATATTATTTAAGTTCATTTTTTATTAGACTGAGATATATCTTCGAATAATATGAAAAACATTTTTTAATAATAATTATTTGAGATTTTTTCCTTGATATATTGTGTTACAAAACATTTGATTGTTAATAAACATATTTGAGAATTTATACTATCAGAATTTTATTTGTATATCATACATAAATTATTGCTTATTATATTTGATTAGCTTCCTAACAATAAATTTGAATAGCAATTGCCACTGGTTTCGTGTACTAAAATATATAAATTAATACATTATAACGCTTAAAATAAAATATTATGTTAATAGATATTTCATAAGTTTTGATAAGTATTTATTCTGAATTTCTCAGAGACTTTTTAGGTTGTTCACAAATAATGAAATTAATAAATACGTTAATATATTTATATAAGGGGTAGTAATATATTTCCTTTTATAAGGGTATAATAATAATTCCTTTGGAATATTAAACATAATTTCCAATTTTAATAGTAATAATTTATTTCTGGTTTATTCGTCCTAATTGTTTCTTAATGCTATTAAGAATTTTTATATCTCTTAAGTTTTCATTGCAACCTACACTTCATACCTTTTTTAATCATTTGTTACAAAATTAATGCTTTAAGTTCTAACCAAAACTTGCGGTAAAAGTTAGAAATAAATTTGTGTCATTAAGATTCCACAACCGTAATAAAATGCGTGAAGATATAAATTGCCTACATTAATAGTGCCTTAGAAAATAGTTCCATAATTGGGATTGTTATTCCCATAAATAATGAATAGAAAAAAAAGAAAGAAATATTTGCCATGTGGTCCCTGTTTAGAGTTTTTGTTTCAACATTTTGATTATTGTTTAAATATTTCTAGAAATAAAAATAAAACAATTTAAAATAGTAAACCATTTCAAGTAAAGTTTCTTCTATAATTCTGATCACATTTTATCTAAACTCAAAAATAAACATAATATATAAATATATATTACAGCAGAAAAGTGTTAATTTTTTTTATAAAGTACATATTTATGCAGGACATGCAGGATATAATATATTTTATATTATAACAAATACAATTTAGCAAATAAGTCAGATATTTTTTTATTAAAATACAATTTTTTGGCAATAATGGCGAAACTTGATATCGACCTATAAGTCGTTACAATAATATCTTGAAAACCAAGATCATGCAGCTTTAATTTTTCTTAATTTTTTCTAATATTTTCAAAATACCAAAAATTCACTCAAAAATTAAAGATACATTTGTTTCTAAAACTAAGACTATTTTTGCTTATCTGCAAAGTGGCTGAAAATTAACAACCTGTCTATTCTAAACGTGTTACTTTGGTGAAAACAATGCAACTAAACTATTTAAAAGATCTTAATTAAGGGATTAAATATATATCAAAATATACGGATAGCTATATTTTGTCCAAATATGACGATTTCGTTGTTAGCTATATAGGTCGCGAGTATTATTGATCTTGATATTCGGGTTATTCAAATCGTCTATTTTTGAAGCGAAAAGTGGCATGGAATTTTCTGGCAATCTAACATATAATATCTAATTTAAAAATATAGTACTATTTCCTGTACCAATACTTTGTGCAATGATGTGTTTGCAATAAATCTTGATGGGATAAATACGAGTATTGTGCATTACACTTTTAATAATTTTATGATGGCATAAATATATATCAGTTATTTCACAATTATAACTTTTTTATATGATAATTAAACATATGACTTCAATTTAGTTTGAGGTAAATAAACAATTTTTGAGTATTTCCAATATATAATACTTAAATTCACTAAAAACAGATATAAAACCTTAAATAATTTACAAAAGCAGACTTTAGCTTTCAGATGAACTATGATTGAAGTCAAATCAATTATATCTTATAAAGGTAAATAAGATAAGTTAGCTTTATTTCACTCTTTTAAGCATATTAAATCTTTAATTTTGCATGAATTCTACAATTAAAAGTTTTGTTTCTGATTTGTGATAAAATTAAGTTTTTTGCATTAAAAAATTTTCTAATAATGAAAAATTTTCCTTAACTTTACGAATTATACTTTTTGTTCATATGTGATGCAATGAATTTTTAAATGTGTACGAATATTAAATTTACTAATTTTATTTAATCTGAAGAAAACAATTATTACAAATTGCTTCTACTTCAATATAATTTTCTATATATTTTGAAGCTATTCTACTCTGCCATATCCCATAGTAACAAAAAGTAAGAGGAACATGTTTGCACGAACTGCAATGAAAATAAAATTTTATTTTAATGTAAATATAATAAAATTAAATTGATTTTGGTGAATAATCTTAAAAACTACATATACAATTGAAATGAACTTACTCCCATTAGTGTAGGAAGTGACATCGTTTTGAACGAAGATATATCAAACTGCATGTTACGTTGAATACGCATCACAGATAATTGAATGAGATATTTAAACTGCTTAGATTTATCATGCCAATCGCAATTATAAAACCAATAAGGAACTTCTGCACTCTTTAAAGTATATATTTTTTTTTGTGATGAAATACAAAATCGTTAAATATTTAAGAAATGAAATCACTTACCACACTTATGATCCGTTGTCCATTAACACAGTAAGTAAATATCTGATAGCCGGCGGTATAGAGATACATGATTTTACGTAAAAAACTTTTTGCATCAGTTTGCTGGAGTGTATATACCATAATATATATATGATTCAATATGAGATCTTATTTAATACTATTAAAAAATTTAAGAACTTACTGCACTGTTGCTTATTTGAAATATGACGATTTCCAAGATAACCAAACTTAATAAAAATTGTATAACGGAAATATGCTTAACCATTTTATTCACCTCCTTCACAAAACTACAGTGGAGAGAGTACTTGATAGATGAATATGAACTAAAAATTATGTGATATAAAAACAGTTAATGCAAACATTACTTATAAATCCGTCCATATTCATAAATACAATAGCGAAGATATTCGACACGTTGTTGCTTCGGTATTAAAAGTGAGGTTGCATGTTTAAGTAAAATCTTCAGTGAATTCAGGAAAACACCATCAAAACTAACAGCTCCTATAAAATGTATATGAAAAAAAAATAAATTTTAAAATAATGTAAAAGATGTGATAATTATTTTCACACAACAGAAATTAAGTATATTTAGGTGATTTATACACAATGTATATTTCTAATAAAATATTATTGTATAAAAATCTCTATGAAAAATTAAAAATAATTGCTTGGTTGTTAAAATCACTACCCATTGCTGCTAGATACAGTGCAGTAGTTGTTAGATACATTTTGATATGATAGTATGGAAACTGTTGTTCCTTCTCGTACCAACCAGGATAATACACTGGAAAATTTGTAGTAAAATAAGTTTAAAGTGAATTATTACATTTTATGAGTTTATATACTACCTAATAATGGCTCATAATTTGAAGTTGGTTTTATTTGGTTATATGTATTCCATAGTAAAAAAACAAAAAAGTAATTTGACAAAATACCACCAGAGGCCATCACGTATAAAATTAATTGACGACGTATATCACGCCAGACTTTAGTCATACTTTCATCAGTTTCTGTCTTCAACTTTGGCTTTATAGCAAAATCTAAACATAATATATAGTTCACATTTAATGTAAAAATATTTCAAAATTTCAAATATACATGTAACAAAGAATATTGTATTACCCTTTGTAAACATTTCCATTTCATGTAGTAATTCATGAGATTGTACTATGTCCACAAGTTGATAAAATTTCTCTTGGATTCCAGGAAAAAAGCACATCTTTACCAAAGAAACAAGACTTTGAAAATCAGTGCAGAGAGTCTGGAGGAACGAACAAAAGTAATCTTTTATTAAATGTTATTTATATTAATTTCTGTAAAAACTGAAGTAAATTATAAACATTGAACTAATTAAATTATTATCTAATAATAAATAAAAACACTGATAACGATTTCCATGTCAATATAATATACAAATTACCTCTGCCGCTTCTATAATATTTTCACCTTGCTCAACTATCATAAACCAGTTTACATAGAAGGATATTTTACAACTTACTATAAGAAAGACATTCACACTATACACAAATATAAAAAAATAATTATTAATTATAAAATAACTAAATAATAGTTTTTTAAAACTTCTCACATCCTCAAACAATTCTTGAAAAATGTTGGCTTTGTAAATGGAATTCTTATTAGTTCTCCAAAGCGAAGCTTATTTTTTCTTGGTAGTTCAATCCTTTTCTGATTTGTATACATCTTCCCTTAAATACTGATGTCTCTTTTGTTTTGATAATTTCACTCCAAGAATTCCTTTCAAGTTGAAGACGTTTTACGGTCTGTGGTTAAATAAGTCAAATATATTCTATTTATACTTTGCTAGGACAATCAGTTTTTTGACTAATGTGAAATTAATTTAGTTTAAGTAAAAACATTTCATAAATAAATAATTAATTACAATAATATAAAAAGAATTTTTGTTGTTCTAGTTCAGCATTTTTCGAAACTTCTCTAATAAATAAATAATTTTTAAACTCACGAAAAATTTAAATTTATTGCAAAGGAATTTTAAGGTTGTGGCTGACCACTTAGTTTCGTTATAACCCAGCAGACTACTCTTTTCTTAGTCTAGTTTTAATCATGAAAATGCAATGAAAAACTGTAAAATGAAGTTTAGAATATTACTAAAGAATCATTAAAAATTTTATTTAAAAAACGGCAGGTAATATTGATCTTTGAACCAATAAGAAATAAAAATTGAAATAGGCTTTAGACAACATTTTACATATGAGAGCAAAGAAGACATATCCATGATCCTTGATATAAAAAATAGATAAAAGATTGAATCTCAACCATTAAACAGAAATTAGACTTTACTGAACATAGTCTAAGTCACTGGTGACAAGTGGGCTTTGAGAAAAAAAAACGGTTTGTGACATTTAATTTTTCTCCGATAGTTCTTAACAGAATATATGATTCAGTACATGCAATCGAGAAATAAAAACAATGATGAGTTTAAAAACATGAAATTGACACGAAATGAAAATACTTATTTGAGATTTTAAAAATAATATAAAACCATTGACAAAGGATACACCATCCACATAATTTGATCGCGTAGTAAGTATTTTGAACGAAAGTACTAAGTTCATAACAGCAAAAATCTGTGATTGTAGGGATAAAGCCTTTCAATAATAGTAATAAAAATATGAAAACTGAAAAGTCAAGAATGACTAGTGACAAGCTCTGATACAAGCCAAAGTGATTCAAGAAAGGAAGTGAATTATGCAGCTAAATAAAATTACTTTATGCTTCTAATAGATATTTACTATAACTATTAAATAGTAATAATTATTAATTTTTTAAAGTGTTTAAATCAATGTAGATAACCAATAGGTTTTTGTACAAAAGATCAGATCAAATCCAAAATATTTTTTGTCAAGTTTTAAGTACTACACAGATAAGGCAGCTAACAAATTCAATAGGGCATTTTGATAATCGGTAGGCGTATAATATATTTGTGGAGGCCGGCAAAAACCTCCTTTTTCTCCAGCAGTACGTTTTAGATCTATTGGTAATTTATGTTAGCAATCAGCATTTTCAGAATCTTTGACTCAACTCTCTCCCATTTGAAGTAGTTCGAGCTCTTAAACTATACTAGTTTATTAAAATAGCTGCTGAAGGCATTATTTTTTTGCATATTTTGGGAAATATGAAATGTTAAGAAGAAGTAATAGGAAACACAAACAATTAATAAGGAAACCTAACAAATTTTTATAATATAGTAGATTCATGTGGCATTTTCTTTTACAAGAAAATGCAGTTGCCTTAAATCTTTTGTGCGGAGTCATTGTAATTTACTTTCAGTTACAATGAAAACAATTTCAAAACACACTTTATATTAAACCCTCTTCACATCGTTTGAATGAAAAGATATTCATTTCGGAACAAAAACTTCTTACAACAGCCGTATATTTATTGTTAACTCATCGATAAATATTTTCAATACGCGTTCCTCAAGTAATCCAAATAGTTTCTGCAAGGTTATTTTAAATTGAACTGCAAAAATAAATATGTATGTATAAGATTGTTTATATATGCATATCTATTAATCATATCAGCGTATGAAAATGTTGTAAAGAGTATAAAAGACAGAATATACTTCACAAATTTCGTTTTTTGGAGTATGATGATAATAAATTTAATATTCTGGTAATTTGCTTTTAATTGAAGAAAACTTTTGGCATTTAGGCAAAATTATATTTTGTGGTAGAAACTATTCTGATTATTTCCTTTCGTTTTATATATTGACCAAAAATCAAGCAGAGTTCATGAAAAATTAAATATTGCTTTAAAAATATTTTTTTAATCATTACTACATTTTGAAGGAACCCTTTTGCCCTTACTATTAAAAAAAAGTGGTACTCAAATTCCAAATACACTGAAATAACAATAAATAACTCATACGCCACGAGTTACCATTTAAGAGCATTTTAACTATGTAGTTTATTACGTGTGAAAGGAATGAAATTATTTAGATATTCACTGAATGGGGTTAAGATTTATATTTAATATAAAAATTAGATGTAACAAACTTAATATACTCTTCGAGAATTTAATTGATATTGTTTTTATTTTGACTATTTTGTATTAAATTATTGAAATGATTCACACTTAACATTAAATTTGTTTTACTTTATTTTCTCAAAATAATTTCTTTTAGCCATTTTAAACAATTACTATGAATATATTTCATTACTTCAATTTGTATTATTGAGTTAGTAAAGTTATAAAATAAAACATGGATTGAAAAATTTTGTAAGTTTATTTTTTGTTAACTATATTCTAATTGTACTCTAATTTGATAGATAACGTTTAATACCAATAATTGATTGAATTTTAATATTTTACGTCTTTCGAAAAAGTAACGAACTAACAGAATTTATTCAAATTTTAACTGTCTTTTATTTTCAAGAATGTATTATCTATCGAATTGTAGTAGCAGTAGCTTTTGAAGAAAAACTAAAGTTTCTCTATAAAGCCATCATTTTTATTGCCCAAAAAATGCTTTTTAAAAGCTTTTTTCCTATAAAAATGAAATGTACTTTTCACTGTTTGAAAGCTCTTTACAATCTCTATATTGCTTGTGCCCAGAGGAACTCAGCTAGAAAATAGAATTTAACATAAAAGTGTTTATGTGCTTATATTGTAAGCTGATGATGCTAGCAGAAACAGTGTCTGCTAGTAGCGATTGCTATGATATCTATAAGATACTCCACTTTGATAGAACAAAAAGCTTTTATTGTTTATAAAGTGTTTTAGAAAAATACTACATATTCTGAGAAATAAATTTCTTATTATACAAATATTAGCGCTGACAAATCGCATTCTATAACTGCATCTGAATTTAAAAAGATTATATGTATAATATTTAGAGAAAACAAAAAAAATAAATAAAAGTCAATATATTATATAGCAAATAGCTTATATATTAATCGTTTTAGAAAATATTTTTTCTGTAAAACTATTACCAACTTGCAGCAAGAAAAACATTATTTGTTTGCTGTTCATATTTTACAAGATTCCGCTTTGTTCATCTATACTTTAAGTTTTTATTCAAATATAATTATTACTGCATTTGTCCACACATTTTCATTCCTTAGAAAAATTTTTGCCCTACAGTATTTTTTTGATGATTTAGAAGAGATTGTAATAATACAGGTCAGATTAGCAATAATATCTAATGGGGTATTCATTTGAAAGTTTTATCGTATGATTGAATAGACAATATTTTCGAAATGTAATACAGTAGAGAATCAATTTAATGTTAATATCGTATGACAGTCGTTATCATATAATTCACATATGAACTCGTAAAATGTTTCTATTCATTTGGTGCACATTTTTTGTGACACTATTTGTTAAAAGCATTATGAATGCTATATAATATATATATAAAATTGACTAATTTCCTCATTTGAAATTAATTAATGAAAATATACTTAACGTAATCCAACATATAATAGCCCCCGACTTGTGGTGCGTATGTAGCTTGTTCAGATTCAATTTCATGTTTTATACAACAGTTCAATACCAATTGATCTCCAAAGTATCGCTGCACTTTGGTACTATGAAGCATTATTAAGTCCATATTGATTTATCTAGGAAACTACTAAAGTACTAATACCGATCAATAATATCAATGGGATGTTGCCTTTGATTGACTCTCAACGAGAGTATTATCCACTTTACAAACAACTTTATTGTGAACTAAAGGTCATATACAATAAGCCTTGCACTTTCTATATGATTCTAACATTCGCTGGAAACTCTAAATAAGAATTAAGTAACAGCTAGATATCAAGTTGAAAAATCAGTATTTCATAAAATCTAAACATATGTTTAAACAAATTTTTTATTTCCAAAAGAGAAATGATTTTATATCACGTGTTGTTGTTTTTGTAATACAAAAAATTTGCTAACCCACCTTTAAACCAACTGAAAATAATAATATAATGAAATCAAAGTTTTGAGTACTTAATATTATCGAAATCAATAATCTTGATATACCTTTAGGTCACACTCAGTTAATATAAAATAAAAATAAAATAAAGCAATTATTTATTAATATCTTTATTAAAATTTCTATATAATATTAGTTATAAAGTTTGAAACAAAATGTGACAGAGATGTTTAGTTTTTTTATGTGTGAATTGTATACATAAACGATATTAACTGTATACGTATATAAAGCAGAATAGAGATATTTGCTAAGTT